CACACACACACACACACACACACTCACACGCCGAAATGCCAAGTGTCGTACAACACACACAGCCAACGGTGGTGATGGCGGTCGCCAACGTCAGGCCTTGACTTGGAGGGCCTTGTAGATGAAAGGGGGGAAGTTAGATTCCAAGAGTGAGAGAGAAGGGTGGGGTTGTTCTAGGCTGGCATGATGTTATCGGCTTCGTCTTCCGAGTTTGGTTGGGAGACGGGGTGGTCGTCTGCACCGGCATCTGCATCTGCATCTGGCCCTGCGTCTGGGGTTGATTGGGGCTGGTCGAGGGGTAGGGTGAGTAGATGGCCCATTCTCTCGACCTTTGTGCGGAGGTACTTTTCGAGCTCTGGACCCTTTGTGATGGAAGCGCCGACCATTGTTGTTCCTGATCGGCGCAGGACATGGTCGATGTACGAATCGCCCGAATCGCTACCGCTATCATCGTCATCACTGTCGAAGCGATCGTCCTCATTCAGGATGTCTTCGCCCTGATGGCGCAATCCGGCGGTGATGATATCGAGTTCGGAATCGGATTCGGTGCCGGTGCCCGCCTGCGAGATCACGCTACCCTCCATTCCGGAAAGGCTCATTTGTCGTAACAACGACGAGGCCTTCTTGACGTTGACCGCAGATCCACTTCGCAGAGGAGACCCGCGACTGCTGGTACCGCTAGCTACGCGCTCGTGGGGCTTACGTCCGCTGCGCTTATGCTTGCGTTTGCGCAGCGACTTTCCAAATTTCCATACGCGCGGCACCATGCCGACCCTCTCGGTGACCCTAACGCCCTCGGCCTCGAGAGCCTCCATCTTCTCGGGATTGTTGGTCAGCAATCGACACTCGTCCACCCCCAAGTCGCGCAGAATCGCCGATGCAATGTCGTACTTGCGCGCATCCGGCAAATGTCCCAACAAGATGTTGGCCGAGACGGTATCGTGACCCATGTCCTGCAGGTTGTACGCCATGAGCTTATCCAACAGCCCAATCCCTCGTCCCTCTTGGCGGAGGTAGACAATGACACCGCGACCGAGCTTACGCGGCGGCTGATCCGCCCGCTGCGTTGTGGTCTTGGACGTGTCGTACGCCTCGGAGATGAGGCGGATGGCTTCGTCGAGCTGCTCGCCACAGTCGCATCGCTGACTGCCGATCGTCTCGCCGGTAAAGCACTCGGAGTGAATGCGCACCAGCGGGGACAGCGCATCGTCCTGCCCGGAACGCGTGTGCGAGTGTGCAGGCTGCGCATGACGATCCAACGGTCGCGACGCCACCTGAAAGCTCGGTCCAAGTCGCCCGACGTACGCGCCTCGAACGATGCGCTCCATGTCCGTCTCTGCCGAGCCCCACACCTCGTCGAGCGACCTGCTGCGCAGCGCATGCTGCTGGTACACCGGATCGGACTCCTTGACGGGTCGACCGTCGGCGCCCATCTGCGTGCTGCCCTCGTCGTTCTGGTACGGATCGATGACGAGCGCCAGATGCTCCTTGGTGTCGTGCGTGTTCTTGTACAGGTGGCAGAAGATCTCGCCGTGCGGCGTGGGGATGCGTGTGCGCGCGTAGCAGCGCACGCGCACGGGCGGCGGGCGCACGATCGACGAGATACCCGCCTTGGCAACGGGCAAGCTCACCTGTGCAGGCATACCGGGCATGCCCTCGATGGACGGAGTGAGTGGCATGGTCTGCGGCGCGACGGCCACCACGGCAGCTTTACGCTCGTCGAGCGCCTGCGCAATGTTGGCGGCTGGCGCCGGAGGAGCGACCAGTTGCGACTTGGCTGCCTGGTTGCCTGGCTGTGCGAGCAGGTCGGGGCGTGCCGGCTCGTCGCTGGCTCGAATGCCGACAGCGTTGGCCACGGCCTGGTCCTTTGCGGCAGCGGCGCGCTGCTGCTCGATCTCCTTCTGCTTTTGCAGACGCACGCTGCGAGGCGCCTGTCTGCTGGCGTAGAAGGCGCGCTCCTCGTCGGTCACTTCTGAAACCGGGTCGATCTTGACGGCGGACGAGGAAGCCTTGCTGGTGCTGGGGGTGGCGTCTTCAAAGTCGTCAAAGTCGCAGTTGGCGTACGAGCCGCTGGCGGCGGACGGTCGCCTTGAGCGAGGCTTGGAGGGGCGCGGGGATGCAGACTGCTGGGAAACAGCGGAGGAAGCAGCGGCGGCAGCAGCAGCGGCGGCGGCGGCGGCGGCGGCGGCCTTGCGCTGGCTGGCAGGCATCTGCTGGCTTTTGGAAGCGGGG